TGTAGAAAGACATAAGTTACCTTTTGTCGTGAAAAAGGACTTTAAGCAGTTTGATATAGGGGATGAAAGTTTCTTATGGAATAACTATCATTGAAAGTATCTATTCTACACGGTTTTTCGCAAATAAAAATATAATAAAAAGCATATGTAAATAAGATTATCTATTTTTTTTTATAATACTAACATATATATAAATGTACCTACGATAAATAAAGACAGCTTATCCTCTCGCCGTTTCATGGCCTCGTAAAGTTGGAAAGGCTAAACGAATGCAAACACGGATAACCTTAGAAGGCATAAAATAGAGGTGTATAGCGTCTACAGCTACTTACATGTTTAAGGGTGGATCTGTAGTAAGTGTAAAATGCTGTTCAACCAACTGATCCTTTTCAAATGATTTTGACCTCTGTAATCGATCGTCGATAAAGTCGGTTTTGGCATTATCATTTTTAAAATCTCACATTCTATTTCTGTAGAGCGGTTCCCTAACTCCTCTAGCTATAAATTTAGCCGAGCTACTTCATTTCATTTTAGTTCTTTGACATGTACTTTAATTACAAGGCGTAAATGATAAATAACGATGATCAAGACAAAAAAATAATAATAAAGACATGTCAAAGAACTAAAAAAATACGAAATATCAGTATAATATTCGCTAAAATCTCCTATACTATGGCTAGAGTTATGACTTGAGAGTTAGGCGGTCGCGTCCCTGGTCAATAATTCCATTAGGGTTGGTAAGATTAAGTTTTATAAATATCTTTGGATATAAAAAAGAACTATAATTCTTTTCGATTTTTATAAGAATAGATTTTTGTTACCTATTTGTCAGGGGATGAGCGATACTATTTCTATACTAGTTTGTTTTTTTTAGCGTAGACTTGAATCCAAATATACCGGACCAGTTTAAAACATTAGCTGTAACATTGCTAAAGAAACTGTTTTAGGCAAATTTCTTAAAACTACTAATTGTATTAATTTCAAAGGACAACATAACAAAAGACTTATAAAATCTCTTCAAAGAGACGACAGGAAAAAATGGTACCTTTACGGCTCCAAATTTACTCTCAGTTAATAATTTATCTTTATAAAGTTGAATCTTCGATAAAAATGGGATTTTCCAGGTAGTTAGGCACCACATTGCGAACGTTGGTTGGATAAACACGAAAGGCAGTCCTAGTGGAGCTTAACAGCCGTTAGAGGATATGTGTCGTAAAGGGTGTGCGGTGTTGGCTTAATGACGATACTTGATGCCGAAGACAGTCGATAACAGAACAAAGATGATATCCTCGCTTGTATAACGATGCCGTGTACGTTGTATTGATAAGTTTTCGCTAAAGATTATAGATTAAAATTAAGTAAAATAAAAAATTTATTTATGACACTTATAGTGCTATTTTCAATTTATGTAAGAAAGAAAGCAAAAATTGACAATTCCCTCATCTTATTTTAAAAAATACAGGATTTTCAATTTTGCCACAAATATGTTCCTAAGACATAGATAGTTATATTACAAACCAATAAAAAGTCTATACTTTTAATAACTTTTAACTACTCAAAGGAAAACACAGATCGAACTTATACACTTTGACGTCCGTCTGTCCAGTTATACCATAAAAAAACCTTACTTCTATAGAGGAAGTGGGAATTTAAAACCATCATATGAGGCTTGATGTTATATTTCAAAACATATTATATTTGATTCCAGAATTGTTTGTGTTGTTCAAAATCCGATTCGTAACACCAGTATTTTGAAGTCTGTTCTAGTTTTTTTGCCATTGAAGGTTGTAGTATTGTTGCAGTAAAAGAGAGGAAAGTAATATCATGTAGTAACTAATGAGAGTAGCAGTTCTGTTTACTTTATGGACTCGTCCGTCGGGTCCTAAGTGAAAGTAAATACCGACAATATATTTCTCTCAGTGCTGCCGCAACGCGTCCGCCGTAAGTTTCTCGCAATTTTATTTCTCAGCAACTAAATAAATAAATAAGTCGACCAGAAATCTTCTTACAGTTAAATATTTGGACTATGCCAATAGCAAGGATATATACTTAGAAGTACATTTAAAGGAATAGTATGGAATGATATAATGTTCAGTCTTCAGTTTATTATCTTCGGTTGTCCGTAATCGTTACGTTATTTTATTGCAGTACAAATAAAATTGTCTTATAATATATGGTATATCCATATCTTTCTGTGTTCTGTGGTATATCCCATTTAATTTCCAAAACACTTCCCTGATATTACAGGACACGTTATTTAAAAAAATATGATGTGCATTGAATCAAATTACATTTACAAAAACATGACCTACCTACGAAACCTGTATTTTCACTTGTAGGGAATGTGCCCTACAAATGAAAATACAGATTTCTGTAATATGTTCAGAAAATATGAACCATTTTAATTTATAAATATTTAATTATCACACCAATATGAAAAATATTACGCTTGGAAAATTTGAAAAAGTAGAGAAATCATTTTATAAAAATTTGCTTAAATGCATATGGCATTAAATTGGTTACATAAAATATAACAACTTTCATTACAACAAGTATAAACATAAACGCACCAAATTACAAAGATCACCCAGACGCCCATACATTCCTCGCTACTGATGCACGGCATGGCGTCACTTCATGGCTTGAATTTTTAGGGAGGGTATTCGCCCGACTAGCAGCAGTTCCACAAACATAGCTCCGAAACTAATAACCGTAAACATGCTATTACTTCTACATTATTTCTCAGCTATTAATGGACTATTTATTTATAAAATAAAAAAGTTGGCAACTGACCTATCGTATTTATGTTTTAGAGGAGATGCTGTTATCTAAAACATTTTTTCTCCTTTAAGTTTATTCAGTTAAGTATCACACAAAGAAGTGAGTATAAATAAGTGTTTTAAACTAAATAAATTTAAACAATTTATATGATGCCGTGAAATATTTATTTTCTCATTATTATTTACAAATAAGCTTTATTTTCATATGTACAGATTTAGTTTTTATTTATAATTTTGGTTAAATAGGTACCGATAAAACCGTTATTGTACAGTATTAAGTTAGTATTTTTTTATTAAATGTAAAAAAATTACCTACACAGGAAATGATAACAGTCCAACTAATATCATTAACGAAACTTTCCATTTTATATACATATAACATTTTATTATTACATTTGCGACTTATTCCTTTTAACTCTGTAGCATCAAAAGGTTATTATTATCTAAACACATTACGTTGTATTTCAGAAAAAAAAAAATTAGCGTTAGAAATAAACACTGTATGAAACTTTATTTCCCATTTCAGTTGAATATATACCTTAAATGATCATAGAATTTATTGTACACAATCATCTAAAGAAAAGCAACTAGCCTTGCAATCAGCTGATCGTAATTTTATACATAAGTATTTTAGTTGATCAAAGTACTCGATATTTAAAAAAAAACACACTCTAAACGATATTATTGACATAAACAGAGTAAGTAATAAAACCGAAACTCATTCTGTGAGTAGGCAGGGTTACCTAAAGGATTCGTATTATCTGATTCAGTACAAAACATCAAAGAGAACTGTGCTATGATCTTCTGAACACTGGTTATTATCAGTCAGACAATTCAGTTAATACTTCATTCTTTTGGATCTTTTAAGTGGAATCTTTATTGAGGGGCGTTAGTGAGAGAGGTGGAGGAGCACAGACACTACCTAAGGTCATGACCTGTCTAAACTGTTTGAAGATATATAAGAGAGATAAGGTATGTAAGAAAGAGACGATATATAGTGAAAGTTTCTAAAACAGACGACTTATATTACTATTTAAAATAATGAAAATAAAAAATTGATAGAGCAACTCTGTGAAAACACGGTACTTTTTACGATATCGTTATTTTCTACGTCATATGTTATTGTTTACAAAAAAAAAATACGAATTTCACTAAGGTGCATAATATGACTGAAAAATGAAAATGATTATGTTTCGAGAATGAATTCTGTTTTAAAATGAGAGCAAAAATTGTTGCAAGACATGAAACCTGAATCTGCTTTGATACTTCAGCAAAAAGGCCAATCCCCAGAAATGGTTCACTTTAAAGATTTACCTACAAAAATGCTATTTTTCATGGGGTACATAATAGACTGAAAGTTATAAATATAGTAATATTGATTAATTATATGTGGTAATTAATACTAAGTAGCTCTTATCATATTTAGTGTTTATTAAAATATAGAACTTAAATAACATGGAAAATTAGTAATAATGACAACATTCTACCTATTCGATTTGTTTCGATTTCATCCATAGGGAAGGCCTGAGTCCCAACAGTGGTGACATTAATAGTCAATCTTAAAGACTAAAAGTAAATCATCAACGTAGAAATTATAGAATCAATCAATGAAATCGTTCACAAATAATGTATTGGTAACTAATGAGTGATGTTTCTATTGCAGTCTAATTGAGACTTCAAATGTTCATTTTGGTGTTAATGCATATTAAAATATTTGTGTTTCTCGTGTTGATTTCTTTGAAGTTGTCAACAGTAATTTACCAACAGGGGAGACCAAGGGGTTATAAAACGAAAGTGCAATGAAACAACTCTGATTTCACGAAATTTTAAATAATAATAATATGATCTTTATTGCACACATACAGTAAGGAAAACAGAACGAAATCACACGGTAAAACAATACAGAGTACACAAAAGGCGGCCTTATCGCTAAACAGCGATCTCTTCCAGATAAGCAGCAAAACCACTAGCAAGTTGGTATCATCGCATATCAATTGCTTACGGTGGTTGCGTCTGTGTTCTGTGGTTGCAGTTTATAGGCCATGATGTCAATTTGATCCTAATGATTTTTAAATTTTAAAAAATCATGGTTGCTTAAACTCATCTCTGTTTTATAACACCTCGGTCTCCCCCAGAAATATGCTAATAAAAAAATACAGTTCGGTGCTTCTATGACTTTATCCGAAAAAATATTAATATAATTATATAATAGTGACGTACCTTACGGCAGGCACCTCTAGTATGTCCCACTCGACGGACATGTAGAACTCTGATAAATCGACTCCCACTGACACCACGTTGCTACCCGCCTGCTCGTCCATGTGCCGCAAGTCCACCTACACCCAGACACTGTCAGACACGCATAATACCAACACTTAGTCTTACAGACAGACTATATTAAAATAATAGTACCACTCAGTTACTATACCTTCCGCTATCTATTTATGTGTATCACAAACACAACTTACCTAATAAATTAAATGTAAGTAGTCCACAGTTAAAATTTAACGGAAAATTTTAAGATTTCTTTCATAAATTTAAAGTAATATTCAACGGAATAAATATCTTATAAAGTCCTCAAAATTTCACCGTATATATTGACGTTTTTTTAAAAATTCGAATGCCTAATTTACTTTTATCAATTAGCTAGTTACCTACCTAATTTTATTTTTACTACACAAACACAACACAAACATCACAGAGCGTGACAAAATGTAAAAAAATTGTAAGTATACACTTCTAAAAGAGTAAAAAAAAAAATTACACTGTAAAACTATAATACGTCATAACATAACATTAACGCATAAAAGTTATTTAATATTTAAAACAATTATTCGGATGAACTGTTTAGGCAGATGAATGGATTTTAATTTAGTTTATTTAGGTAATCACCAATCAACTATATACGCATAGCAAAGTTAGCTTTACTTCTGTTCGAACATTAAAATAGGTTTTAATAGTTTATTTTTATGAAAAGTACTAATATTTGCCATACGTATTAGCAGTTGATGTTTTTTTTAACAAATGGAGTCATGGCAATTTTTTTATTTGATATTTATCGACTTATTTTTTAATATTTCCGATACATGCACCCTTCACACATTGTGAGTTTGATCATTAACTTCTTTGTCGTTATACATAAATTAATCTTCCGAGACCCACTCACTCTCAGTAATAATTCGGCTACTTAGAAGATGACCTTCGTGGCAGATTCCTCTAAAACCATATATCACACAGTGTGTCGAGTAGGATGTACCTGGTTTAACAGAATTCAAACATTGAGACAACGTTCTTTTTAACCGCAGTTCAAAGAAGACATAAGAACACAACAATATCCGAATCATGCCATAAAATCACAACGTGTAGATAACATTGAAAACAACGAGTAGTAATGAAAGGTGAAATTTAGACGAAAATATTGAGTAGATTCTGACACTTAGTTTGAGTTAGGCGATCTCGTCGACATCCTGGGGGCTATCTGCATTTTAATTACTGAGAACGCGAAATAGCCTTCAGGATAGCTTGTCAAAAAGCTGAAATACAGGGTCGGAGGCGCCGGCTCCGCTGCGCGTGTGTGTGTCGCGCGTACGCAGCGTTCCTGACGCGTGCGCCTGACTCCAATCACAGTATGCATGCCATTAACATAAAAATAAATCCAAAAAATAAAAAAGAGTTAGTTTGGAATCAGGCGCCAATAAATTCGAGTGTCGTATAGCATGCAAGGAGAAGTTCGGTCGCCGAACTGGTTTCTTCAGTCATATTTCGGCTGACAAAACTCTCCAACTACGTTTTTAACATCCAGCTTGTTTGTATTGTATTTTAATGGACTTCGTGTCTAATTTTGAGTAGGATCGCGACATTTTTTGCAATGACAATCATGCAATGAACGACCAGCAAAACCCAATTCTTATGGAAGGGAAAGGTATAAAATATGCATCATGAAGATTGTTATGCTCGAGAGTGTACAGAGCCACGAGTGTGAATCTTTATCATTGATTAATTCACGTGCTGTGCTTAACTGTTCGCGTGTAAGGTATCGTGTGAAGCTGTGTCAAGCCACGACCGTGTTCCGCGGCGAGCGGCCGCCGTGATCGGGAATGCAAGTGGTTTGGAGTCAAGCTAGAATCATGCGGTGAGTTCAGTGTACATCGACAGTAGGGAGACATGCAACAAGCTCTGTGTAGGAGTGTAAAGTGTGTTGTGTGGCGCGAGCGGAGCCAGCTAGTGAGGACATGTGGGAACTCCGTGTGATGCCATTCCGCGATAGGATATTAAAAAATATATTTTTATAAAAATCTATCCAATATATTGTAGAAACAAATTTATTGCCAAGCACGGAAAGAATCAAACGTAGCAGGAGCGGATGTCGGGTTAGGAGTGGATTGTGAAATCTTTGCATCCCATATCACCTGGCTGTTAAAATTTTATACCTTTCCTTGTCGAGCGAGGAAGGCCGATTGAGCTAAGTGGAATCGACCGAGGACGTTCTGGAGCATTCGTGGTCACGCACGTAGACATACTGCTACTCCACATAATTTAAACATCACCAATAAAACGTTAACTTGCAGCATGTCAGAGCTACGAACCGCGAGCGAGGAGCGGGCGACGGCACGAGACGCGCGCTCTACGCCTCTACTCTAGCACCATCATACAGTCAATATGTAAGAGTGTGAACATACCACATGGACAGATAAGTAATATAATATTACACGACGATTTACGTTCGAGCCAATAAGCTATTGCATGGACATCGGCCGGGGCGGGGCCCTACGGCTACGGCCCGCACGCGCGGCGCAAGCAGCGTACAGCGGGGCGTCACCTTGAAGCCGTCATACGTCCAGCTGCCTAACTTAAGCACACAGGTTTGCACGTCGTAAGGAAAGAACTCGACGTCGATCGAGCACGAGGACTTATAGACGGCAGGCGGCTGCCACACCACCATGCCGTTGTAGTACACGGTGGCCTTGGTCATCAGTGTCACCTCGTAGTTGCCGTCGGCGCTGCGGACAAACAGAACGGTCAGCGAAAGCGGTGACGGAGCTTTAGGCATTTACCTTGAATCCATCGTACGTCCAGCTACCGAACTTAAGAACGCATGTTTGCTCGTCGAACGGAAAATATTCCACGTCTATTTCACAGGAAGACTTGTAAATGGCGGGCGGTTTCCATTCGACCAGCCCCTGGTGGTAGATGGTCGCCTTGGTCGCCAATGTTACTTCGAAGTTGCCGTCGGCACTGTAATGTTAATGCACGTTACATGCCACCTCGCATGCAGCTCTAGTGCTTCAACAAATTTTTGTAGTGTCTATTACGACTCACGTGTCTTCTGATTGGTGTATGAGGTAGGTAAACATTTCAGTTATGGAGACAGAACATCATTATTATGTATAGTAAAGTATGTTCAGTGTTATTCTGTTAGATAATAGTGAGTTGAATCTTATATAGAGTATTCTAATAATAATACAAGGCCGTTGGCATAGAAAATTGTATGTGCGTACCTAATGAAATTCGTCATCCACAGATGGTCTCGTGGATTATTAAATTGTCCGTTAAAATACTATTTGAAATTCAATATCGGCGGCACGCTTACACATGTGTATCCACTAGAATTCGACGTTCCTTGTCTATCTAAAACATCAACTGTGAGAGAATTGAGTGGCGTTTTTAAACATATTCCGGTTATGAATCCACCAGGTTGTCAGACAGGGGTCGAGCGGAGCCTGAAAATGCACCTGTCACATCACTTATTTACGCCGATTACAACGTCAGCCGCATGCCCTGGTTTACAATATTGTATTTTCATTTAACACAATTAAATAAAACACAACAATTAACATTTATCATGCATTATTATATATCGATTTAATATTTAATATTTTAATTTTTACAATTGAGAATTGAAAATAAAATTATGTGAATGTAAATAATATATCAACCAAATATATTACATATGACTAAAATAAATCATATGAGTATAACATGAGTGTAATAAAGGGTACAATTTTAACGTAATTCAAAGGGATACTAGTAGTTTTTTTCTGGACGGGTTGGGACCAAAAAGGTTCGTAGGGGAAGACGCAGGTTGCAAGGAAGGATCGGAAATGAGTAACGATTGCTGTCCGGGTCATTTATCAAAGTCTAGCGTTGTCGCTCCTAGGTGGTGCCCCGGACAAAATGAACGCAAACGTATAAATCAACCACAACGCTTATTACTTATTCGTTACAATATCGCAGTGATTACACCTTTTCACTGAAATCGTATTAATAAAGGTACTTTTATACGATAAATTTAATGAATATACTGGATAAAGACGAAAATTTTTATTCATGATCAACATTCATAATTGATGTTTTATTGTTGTCTTCAATCATTCACTGAGCAGTGTAATAATCGTCCCACAGCCTTAACTGCGTTATTCAAAACCTCATTAATATCTGTCTTCACGTCTTGCACCAGCTTAACCACAGTGTGTTTTAAGATATCTAGTACATATTTCACTTTACTCATGAAATCCGATTCACAAATCACCTAAAATAATTATCAAATGCTAAATTTTATTCAAATAGTTAAGTAATAAGTACAGTAGAATATTACATTACCGTTTGAAATAGAAGAAAAAATATTATTACAGTTATCAACTTCATCACTCAAACAGTTGGCACGTATTAATATGTGTTTTTAACAACTGGCATTTAATTTAATGAGGCCAATCTTATACTTCATTCAAATTATATTTACAGCTCAAATATAGAACATAACAGAAATTTAAACGAACTGAAGGACCGGAGGTCGCAGCCGCGTTGTCGACCGACAAGCCTACATAATTAAATAATTAAGAAATATGTGCGTAAATTATTGTGCGACTCGTAGATAATTTGGATACAACCACTCAGAACTTTTGAGCGCTCTCCTTGGGGGAGGCGACAAGTGCCTACTCTACATAGTAATTTACAACGTGCACAATCTTTTATCTTCTTAATTATACCTATTTAATTTAGCTCCCTCTTTGTCATGGAAGTTTATTTTACGTTAGTGTACGTAATCGCTTTAATAAAGTATTTTAATATTTACGCTATTTTTAACAGATTTATTCGAAAGCGTTCTACATGATATTATTTTACTTCTATGTTATTGATATGACTTGCTATTCTTATAACAAAATTTTGAAATTCTTCATGTAAAATCGAACTTTTACTATTATTTTATCAACTACTTATTTATCAGTAAATCGGTTACAGCAAATATCAACCACCTATTATAAATCTTTGATAAAAAAAAAGGAAAAGAATATCAAAATAGGTTTATTTTCATTAAATCTACGTCTACGAGGGGTCATAAATTTTAAAAGCAATTCTTCCCATTCCAATTTTAATTCAATCAAATGCTTTCTTTTGAATGTTGACTCCCAGCAACGGGCATACTCTCCGTGAACAGGGTGACTGAATATAAAATGAAAAGGTGAAACGCACGGTCATTAGAGTACTCCCAGTGGCATTGAAACCACGCAAATGTTTAAGCGGCGCTCAGGCAGAGAGGGTCTAAGCGTCTATTAAAAAAGGTACACAAAAGGGAATTCGCGATTTTTTAACGCGAACGATGGATGGCACGGTGGTATTTCAAAACGTAATGGGTTCAAAACGTAACGTAATCTTACATACACGTAATATCTAAACTAATTACGAAGCGCATTTGTGAAAACAATTAAAGTATTTCAATCATACTTCTAGATATTTCTGTTGGAATGTAATTCCGTTATTTATTGATATTTTCCTGTCCGAAATTGATATTAAAAGTTACGTTCCTAAGCGAGCAGGCTCAATCGATGCGCCATTCTTATCGGCCGTCATTGTGTGCCGAGAATAGCTATATCACGTCTGTGAGTCTACGTTATAACCATTTCATTCTGCGCTTCATTTTCAGTCTTAAGTATTAGTTCTTATTTTAAATAGTTTTTGATCTTAATCATTCTCTTAGAAAACGAAAAACTACATTGACAAAATAATACAAATTTATCATAAGAAATTTAATTTTGTTATCAAATAACTTTCAAAATTAAATTAAGTAATTAACAGTAATGTATATGATATAGATAGGTACACACATATATGTTTTACTATGGCTTCAAATGTGAGGGTATTGAGAAGGGAAGTGTCTGGGTGTTGAAAAATATATTTACGTAACAAATATTTGAAAATACAAAAATCATGAGACGTAAAATGTTAAGTTTACTTTTATATAGCGGTGAAAGTAGCGGTATTTACGTTCAACCTACTCCGGAGATAAGTAGCTCTGATATTCCTTTGTGAGAAACCCTTTACTGTCTGAATGGAAATAATAATTCTTGAAAGCAGAATGAACTGGACTTATAAAGATTCGGTACGGTGATAATGCGAAATATTTAGAGCATAAAAATTGTAAATAAGCAGTTTTCAAAAGGAAGAAATTCATTTTTGTTTGAGTTACTATGTGCGTTGTTTGTTTACCGTAAAAATTGATCAAAACATACATTAATGATGTATGGATAATATTAAAAATCTTCTTGTTTTACATAGATAGAGTACAGCAATGAGATACGTCAACGTTTGAACTTAGTAAAATAAATTCAACATTCATTAAGCGGATAATCGAAAACTTTTAAACATGTCTATTATTTATAGCCCTTAAATCTTCTCTGACCCAAAGTTGTCTGACAAAAAGTATTTATAAATTAAAAGCTCTTATGATTAATCATTCTTGCTTAACAAACTGCTACGTATTTATAATTATGAAACTTTTTATTATTATATTTTAATCTACTCCAATCTATCGCGCTGTTTACAGATAAGGAACTATGAATATATAACAGTAATATATAACATATCGTTGGATCGTAGGTATATAGATATTTACATTCCTCTACAGAGTCGACCTAAAGTATGTATGTGTCCATAGCAATAATCAGTTACAAGCTTATAATCCGATATTCTAATATACACTTTATTTCCTAAAATGCTGAATATAACAAGCAAATATGGGGTTATCTCTATTCTAGACGATCACGGTAGTGTAGTACCTCAAGCAGTAAGCGTATTTTTATCTTTTCTATACCTACAATAGATCAGTATGAGACAATATCACATACAACCGGAGTAGAAATTTGATATTGCGTTTACAACCCATATGCATATATTTTTAACTTGGCGGAGGACTGCGGCCATTTGGATATTCGTATGTAAAACCTGAATATTTCTTATATTAAAAAGGAAGTGATTTCTTTGGAGATCTTGTCAAGGTCTCTCACAGAAGTCATTTTTCTCACAAAATTCGAGTGAGGGTTACTTATTGACTTCTCAAATCAAATTAAATAATCTAATCGAAAAGGAAATCTGATATCTTTCTTGATTTAGGTTAAAATTATTCATGTTTCTTTTCACTTTGTAAAGGTATTAAGTAAGTAAAAAAGAATCGTCAATAATTGTTTCTATTTAAAAGGTACGTGTCTATATAAAAGGATTTCATTTAAAAATTTAAGCTTTTTTCGTATTTATTGTTTAAAGTAGCCTGTTACGCTATTACCTTCGCGGTCTTGATTTGACCTCTATTGTTAAGACAAACGTCCGTAAATATCCACTTTTTAAAAAGCAGGGTTAATACCCATTTTGAACATGGAAAAGGTGTGATTCGTTTGTATCGTTACTCGACTCGAGCTCTTCGTTAATGTTGTGTTAACGAATTGCCACTTCATTATTAAGACGACTTTGTACACAGTTGAAACTTGTGCCGTGGGCTTAGCTGATTTTAGCGTAGCTCCGGGGTAAGAAGTTTGTTTTAAGGTGTTTGTTGAAATATTTTACTTTGACATTTTTCTTTATCCTTACTTCTAATGAATCTTGGGGTTTCTCACTAAAGAGTCAGTTTTAATATTACACTTTAATATATTTCGATATTTTTTTAACTCCTCGCTACTTTGCCCGCTTTGTTTTAAAGGTATGTCTAGTTATCGAGATAAATGTGTTGCGTATACCTCATCACTCTAATTTTAAAATTACCCCGAAACCCTATCACTCTTGTTACCATTTAATTTGTACAATACATATATAGACATTTTAAAATCAACAGCATATCAGGCTATAAAAAACTGTCAAATTTCTCCACTTGATTTAAAAGCTTAATATGTAGGTAGAGCTCAAAGTAATTTGAGGAAATTTGACATATTGTAGTAGTGTTAATGACGTACACACCGTACGTCATTAACACTACTTTTGCAATTTAATGTTTAATTGAATGATGTAAAACAATTTACGACTTTAAAAACCATTGACATATTCTGTTATTATACTCAATATCAATTTATGCTCGATTAAGTATGAGGTATATATGCTACACATGCATCGTGGTGTGATTTATTATTATGTCTTATGTGTTGGTGTCTGCGTGGGTCTCACTTGTTGTAGAGCACGATATCCGGCCGCCAGATGTGGTCGGAGGGTACGTGCAGCATGTGAACGCCGCCGTACTCCTTGGGCTCCCAGCGTAGTTTGTAGTCATACCACGACTGCTCCACCCATAGGTTTGTCGTCATTATCTGGTTCTTGAGGTTCTGTGGAAACAATGCGTAAGTATCAGTGATTTAAATCTTTTCACAGAGAAATACAGATACGTTGTTGACTATAGCGGGAAAACGGGAAAATCGCTTTTCCCTTTTCACTGAATGTGATAGATAATCCATTTCAAATATTTGGTATCATTCAGAATTTATGAATAAATCAGAATATGTAAGCATATAATAAATAAAGAGTAATCAATATAATTTCAATTCATATAAGAAAAATAATTCTAAGAATTCTATTTTAATCTATTGCGTAATCAAATACTTCTTTAAGTGAAGTCACTTTGGTAATACATTGTTAAAGAATTTATTATTGATTCGTAAGTTAAGTAATAGTAATTTTAATAAATTTCCCAGGTATCTCGTTACGGGAGGCTGGATAAGGAGCAGTCCCTACTGAATCCCAGGCCCTACTCCCAAAATGTAAGGAACATCGGATTTTTAACGGATGTGTAGTGGGTACGCCATCCGCGTTTTAAGTAGCCATCAGGGGTTCCGTTTGGATGGAGAGTCCCATATTCTCCTTGGCGCTTCACAGGCGGTGCACAAATCATTCGCCTTATCCACAAAAAGGAATCGCGGAAATGCATTAGACCTACCACTGTCTCCTGGCAAGCGACAGGGGGTATGTGGCACTCTCTTTCGCGAACCCATCTTGTGGCTAGCCGAGTTCCCTGAGGCCTACCCACAAAAACCCCTACGGTATACCCTCCCATGGGGATGATACCCGAGAACACAAAAAGTCACCTATATCATTATTTGCATCTTTATATTTCTCTTTTTAGAAAATTATTTAAAATAGAATGCATAAGTAGAGTACATATGTAAAATTTGGATTCTTATGTATCTCCAGAATTTAGGTACTTTCAAATATTTATATTTGACTTAATTCAGAATCCAAATTGGACTCTCGAGTAATTTGACTATTGTTCACTTATTATACTTCATCCCAGTGTACATACATACAATCTTATCTGGCAGACGTTATTCGGTCAATACAATTAGAAAAAGCACTTATAATTTTACCGGCATTGATAAAAGAACTTTTTGATTTTCGTATCTCTAAAATATTTAATTATACTAGTAACAGAAGCTTATTCAATAAAATTTGTGATTGCTAGTAATTATTAATATATAACAATTTGATATTGATGAATGAAATAAATATGAAATAAGACCAAAAATCAAATGAGAGTGACATCGAAGTACGCATTTATAACTTCAAAATTATTTATTTAACGAGTGTATTAGAGTTTTTATTGAATTTCAAATTGTTATATGCATTATATGGTACCACAACTAAAAAAGGAAATCCATAAACGACATTCGGTGGGCTGTTTGTCCTTTCGTTTGGCTATTAGTTTCTCCAAAACTACTGAACCGCTTGAGTTGATATTTTGTACACATAGCAGTATGTAAGTTTGTAATCGAAGTTCAATGTAAATAATTTAAAAAATACGGCTTCATTTGGGGGGTAAAATAGAAATATTATATATCAAAAAATCTGCTATCTATATTATGTAACAAGTGAAAGCGCGTATTGTGAGAATTGCAAGTATATTTTCTTTATAGTTTCAAGATCTCCAAAAAACAGCGAATAATTAAAAACCTCAAAATAGTTCTTTATCAATGTAGATTACGCAAATCCTTATTAGAAGTCTTTGGTTTTTAAAATACAATACCTATTTTTGCGGAACCCTCTGCGAGTGAGTTCAACTCGCTTTTGGTAGTTTTTTTATCGGATATATTGAGAGTAATGCACAGGTAATTGTTAACGACAGAAAGACTAGTCTTTCTACGATATTATGTTAATAGTGAAGTGAAATGTCTTGAATAGTAGAAAGCCTATGTAATATCTTTTGTACCTAGCATTTCATGCCACATTTAGGAAAGATTTAAACTAAGCTTTTTATGAAAGATTTATATGTCTATCCAAATGAAATGTTTCCAAACATAAGCTAGGTATCATTAAACATTTCTGGTGTCATTCAGTTTGTTCAGTTGCCCTGAAAGATAGTGTCGATGTAAAAATCCACAGCGACATGCTCCGTTGGTTCGGATATGTAGTAAGAATGTCGGATGAAAGAACGACAAAACTGATATACCTAAATCGGTTTTTAGAATCAATACCTATTTGTATTCCCTCTGCGAGTGACTTCAACTAGCTTTTGGTATTTTTTTTTATTGTACAGGATATATATTGAGAATATTGGCTAACAACATCAGAAGTAGTGTTTCTACGATATTAATATATATAAATAGTAAAGAAAGACATATATAAGAACAGTGCCTTCTGAAGCTTCCCTCCTATAACCTCGCAAGAATTTATGTTCAAAATTCGTCCAAATTAAGGATTACTTGAAATTTTGGATTGCAAAGAAAAAGAAATACTTTTCTTCTTTTATGGTATATTACGAAGTTATAAACAAAAATGTCCTCACTCTACAAGAATCAGGTAAATACAATGTTAACATCCGAATTAACAAAATCATTAAAAAGTATTCTGTTCTATTTAAATAAAGCCTGTACGTAACACTAATATATTAATGGAGTCTGAAGTCTGAATGAAAGTATCCGAAAAGCGGCAAAGACATTTATTCATGATGGCGGCAATTAATGCGAAAGCCTTAAACCCTTAAAAGCTTATTACAAATATATTGTTCCTTCTAATCAATCAATTCACCGTCCGCCGTAATCTTTAATCTTAGCTAAGGATCAGAGAAAAGCAAAAAGTATTCGTGACTAAGAGGGTTACCAGAAAGGAAACCAATTTTATTCTAAGCATATTTGAAAAAGTAAAGAACTCATTTAAATAATACCTTCGGCTCTACACCTTTTATTTTATGACGACATATATGTTGTGTATTTTTGGTAAAACTTGAGGCGAAACCCTATAATATAAATAAAAGAAATATTTCTTTTGAACTTTTCTACATTAGTAATTATTATTATTACATTACTAATGTTGAAGTACTGCTCATTAAATAAATAACGCTTTATAACATAGTCTAATATGAATAAATATTTTTATTGTACACCATAATTAAATAATAGTACAATCAATACAATTAAGTGGTACAATCGGTGGCTTTATCGCCAAGAAGCAACTTCTTTCAGGCAACCGCGGGTTAAACTGAACTATTGTTGTTGAAGTAGATGGGCAGTATATGGTGTCTTACATAGCGAGAAAATATGTTTTCAATTATAAACATAGCTACATACAAACATACAATAGTAAATATAACAGGATAAAAATGATAAATAACAATCAACACGATTAGAAACAAAGTTAGTTATATTATGTACGTAACTGTTTTAGAAATTTTAAAGGCTTTATTCCATATTCTATCTCGAGAAATTGGCAAGCCTCATAAGCTTAAGTCCTACATTTGAACAATTACATACCCACCTACCTATATCTATATGCACATACATATTTTTTCTATAATATATTAATGTCTGTATAAAAGAAATAATTCATTATAGGTATATACATATATATCGCTAATAATGTTAGGACTTACTGTTTAGCTACGATAACGCAGCCAGACAGAACACAGCAGATCTTTATGTTACTTTAAATTCATCTGCAATTTGGTAGACAGGTTCTTGGTCGTATCTGCTATAATCTTCTTTATTACTATGTAAATTTGAACGAAGCTGAGGGAAAATATGTGAACATACGTATTTCAAAGATCTCACCGCCTCCAAAGTTCACGGCTAAGAAAGTTGTTATTACCTTCATAGCTCATAACTTGGATATTTGTGTATTATAAGGAATAACGACGTGGAAGAAACTTATTTATGACTTATAGAATTGCTTATACGTTGCGTACAAAACTTTTATTGTGCACCAAAGTTTTGATTGAAAAGTATGTTCGAAATGGAATTGAATAGGAAAATAATATTTATCTATACATACAAAAGCGACAGGTCACTCACTCACTCATCACGAAATCTCAGAAACTACAAGTGCTAGGACTTTCAAATTTTGCATGCGCCCACTAAGACGGGATTTTATGAAACTCTTATCCTAAGGGGGTAAATTAGGGGATGAAAGTTTGTATGAAACTTCGTTACTACAAGTGCTAGGAGTATAAAATTTTGCGGGTTCTTTTTAGTACGTAGGTGCTCACTATGACAGGATTTTAAGAATTTCAACCCTAAGGGGGTAAATTTAAAGGATGAAAGTTTTTATGGCATTTTCTCATTTCTGGATCTAAAACTAGATCACGCGGGCGAAGCCGCTGTCGGAAGTCTAGTCTTATGTATGTGCAGATTAAGTGATCCATGTAATTCGCTATTCTATATAATGCCTATAAGTGTACTATGGAAGAGATTATTACAATTTCCAAAAACTAGTATAAAAAAAAAACAGCTAAACAAAAATTTTTTCGGTATTGTACTCGTATATAATGCTATTTAGAGACATACATAAATATTCTATTTTTTCTTGTATAAGTACGTTGTGTCGTGTCGTGTATGCTATGTGCCAATGTATTGAATACCTTATGCAAGTCGCAGAAGATCTTTATATTGTTGTTGCAGACATATTTTATTTTCAAATCTTAAGTTTGTGGACATATTATATTTTTGACTCGCAAGCTGTGTTGGAAATGTTGAAGGAAGATTGTCAATTTTAATCGTATTTTTACGGTGACTAGTCAATTAGTCCTTTATTATATGTATTTATCACAAATGTTTTTAAGTATTTTATATACCACGCGAGGTAAGATATGAATCGTTTTATAGAGATTTGACAAGAAGACGAATGTTCTGGATAATATTAAGCAGCTGAAATTAGTATACCTTGACTTTAGATATACGCAATATAAAGTACGCCCTCTTCCAACTAATAATACAGAGAAAAATACAAGGACGCCGAAATCTAGGCAAACATGAAACCTCATAGCTCAAAACTTTTATTTTGGTTGAGTACAAGATCCTTGTTCCGAGTAGCATCTGACAGAGTGAGG